ATTTACTGAATCTCATTTCCTGTGTCGTCTCTCCCTCTGTGTCTGCCAGTGTCGGTGTGTGCACCCCCGCCTGCTCAGGTCGCCAAAATGAACGAGAAGCTGGTGGAGGCCAGTGGTCAATTTAAAAAGAAACAGCCTAAAGGCACCATTGACGTGTGGTGGCTGTTTGATGATGGAGGTAGGTGTCACTTCTCTTCTGCTTGGAACATTTCTCACAGAGTGTGACAGATTCAGCAGGACAGACATCAGATCCTCCCTGAAAGCCAAAGTGGCAAAAAGAACAACAACAAAAAAACAGGCAAACAGTCACAGTTAGTCAATAAAATAATATAAAAAATAAAGGATTGCAAAATATATATATATATATATATATATATATATATATATATATATATATATATATATATATATATATTTTAATATACACTCAAAAAAATCAACCAAAATATTTTTTTTAATTAAATTATTTTCTAGTTAACTAAATTCAAGTTTAACGGATCCCACACAAATTAATTAAGTAGACTTAGCTTAATTTTGTTATGTTCTTTATTTAACACCTGAAATCTTACACATTACATTATTTTAACCAGGTTGACACTGACAAGAACACGAACTGACAAACAATGACAAACTTTCATCTTCAAATGTGACGTATTTGACAACATCAGCAAATTATGTGAATTTTAAATGCAAAATCCATTTTGCATGACAAAACAACCGGAAATTTATCAATTCATTTCAATTTAATTCATTTATATTATGTAGTTTTGTTGCACAATACAAATAGATGATCAACAGTTTTGCACACTTTTTTTTTCTTTTTACCACAAACCATGTGTTTTGCCTAGTAAATGTTTCTTGTTGTAATTACATATGTGAAGTTGTTACTTCTGAATTAATTATACTGAACGGAAAAAAAAGTGAACAATTTGTAACTTTTTCTACTACAATTTGTAACAATTTGTAACTTTTTAGCCAACGGTCCAAAATGCACCTTGTAACACAACAAAACAAAATGTTGCTTTATTTTGTAAAAATTTTACATCAGCTCTTATCTCATAATTATATGAGATGTTCAACACAAGGACATCTTCTATTCAACATAAGGTGTTGAACTTATAAGATGTTCTTATGTTGAACATCTTCAACATAAGACAAGTCAAACAAACAAATTCCATATTTATTTGTTGTGTCATTTCAAAGTGTTTTGATGGTGCGGTAATAATCGTAAAATGTCATATTTAGAAAAGAAGCATTTATAGAAACCTTGAGAAGCACTAGCCAATGCATAAGTGCATAATATGGTGTACTGTGCTATTACAGAATAAATTCAGGAGGTATATTACATTTTCTGAATTATTTAAGCAAAGTTGAAGTAAGACTACTCACCAATATGTTTCAAGTTTGTTGATTTCAGCATTTATTATTTTGAAACTTGTCAGAATATTAGCTGTCCTGTGCCAATCACCTGAATCCTTTTAAAAAGCACGTTGATTTTTCATTAACTTACCTGTGATATAACATTTTTGTTCTTTTGTGATCAGCACAGAATAATGTCTGATTTAAGATTAACTTTTACACAGTCTATTCAATGCCAATGAATAGCGAGAAAAGGATGGTTAGAGGGAATCCTAGGAAATGGGAATAGCATTCAGCCTTAATTCCTTTTTCCTGGAGGCAAAGTTGTGTACTAGCAGAACAAGATGATAAAAGAAACACCTTACATGTGTTTTATGGTCTTAAAACTATGTCATAAACCGGTACGGTTGCTTGGAAAACAATACCTTGTTTTCAGTTCAAGTGTCCTACTTATGTTTCCTTCTCTCAGGTCTGACGCTGTTGCTCCCCTACATCCTCACCACCAGGAAGAAGTGGAAAGACTGTAAACTAAGGATCTTTATTGCAGGGCAGCCTGGACGAACTGAGATAGACAAACAGGAGTGAGTAAACAAACTCATGTGGCAATATCAGTGAAAACGTATCATGTGAACATAAAGATGCCAGAAAAAACAGCATGTGTTTGAATAAAGCTGAATCTGTTTGCTTGGTGATTTGGTTTGCAGGATGAGGTCCCTGTTGCACAAATTCAGAATAAAGTGCAGTGACATCACCGTCATCGACGACATCCACATTAAACCCCGCGATGACAAGTGAGTAGCTGCTTTCTGCCGGGTGCAGTGGTTCGACGGGTACAGTCAGGTTTAAATGCTTAGCCATCCACACGTTATGAAAGTCGGCTCACCCTCTTGTCTGCCGTTCGTCCAGCATAAAGAAACTAGAAGACATGATTGAGCCGTTCCGTCTGCGCGAGGGATCTAAAGGCAGGGATCAGGCTGCGGGGATCCAGAAGGAGTATCCCTGGAAAATCACAGATGCAGAGCTCAGCAGCTTTGAAGAGAAGGTGAAGAATCATTAATTACGGTTCTTTCCTGGTGATTCAATGAAATTTCATTAATAAAAAAAAAGAAGAAAAGAAACAACATTTCTTCTTCTCTTTCACAGACGCATCTCCAGGTACGACTAAACGAACTCCTTCAGGAACATTCCAAATCGGCCAACCTGATTGTTTTGTAAGTACAAGTGTCAGACCACCAGATTATATCCAATTGCCTATTCCACTCCGAAAGTTGATCTAATTTAACGTTTTTCTGAACGGTTGACCCTCTGCAGGAGCCTGCCCATCGCTCGTAAGGGATCCATCTCTGATTTTCTCTACATGGCCTGGCTGGACATCTTGACAAAGGACCTTCCACCCACCATTCTCATAAGGGGCAACCACAAGAGTGTTCTTACTTTCTACTCGTGAGCGCCTCGAAGGCCAAACTCCGAGGAACAATGTTGCTGGAAGGGGGATCACAAAGGCAATACTTTGAACTATATATTCATAAAGGGTACAGGTACATGAGCTAGACTGTCTTCCAGACCCACATCAGTCATATATTCATGCTCTGATTATCAATTAGGGAAAGTAAACCAAGAAAACAAAATAGATTTTAAAAAGACAAAGGAAGTAGGATTTAGACGGTGTGCTTTAGTCAATATGACAGCTATATAAGCTGCTTGATTTGGAGTGGCTACTAAGAAATGCAACTATTTTTTTTATTGTAAGAGAGAGAAGACAGAACCAGCACACAAGACGCTGCTGGAGAGCTTAAACCGAGTGACTGTGACTGTAATATAAATGTAAATAGGACATTGTAGTGCATATTTTTTGAAGTCAAAAAGCTTTAATAATTACCAATAATAATAATAATGATGATGATGACACATCAAATTTACATATCACTTATTATTACACTCAAAGAAAAACAAAAACAACATAAAACAAGTAGCTGAAAATTGAGAAGGGGTTTATGATGGATGTGCCAGATCCATCAGTAATGATTTGCAGGTGGGTGAAGAGTCTGAGTTGCTGATGTTATGAAGAAGACAGTTCCAGAGGGGAGGAGCGGCGGCAGGAAAAGCTTGACGCCCGAGAGTACGATGTTTGGTTCTGACAGGGGTTGGGAAGTTACAGTCAGAGGAACGAAGGAAGCGAATAGCAGAATGGTGGCAAAGAAAGTCGAAGAGAGATAAAACAGAACGAGGTTATTAATAAGCTATGAAACTGGCCACTTTAATATTAGTACCTTCTTCACTGTGGTAGTACTGCTTTAATTCTTTTTTGTACATTGTTCTAGTTACTTTTAATATTCTTAAAGTTAAAACTGCATCCTGTTGTTCACCCATTCCACCTAAATTTGCTTCAACTTTTTAATTTTTTTACCACGTCTCATTTCTTTTGCTTGAAGAAAGCCGAGTGATTCAAAGGCACGATTAAATATCTTTTTTTTTTGTGGTCTTTTTATTCATCATTTTGTGATTATATTTAAATAAGTGGGATTGTTTGAAATAAAAAAAATTAAAAACTTGATTATTTCTGTTTCATGTTTTTTTCCCCATGCATGTGTTTTTTAAGTGATTATATATCAAAAGGATTTTTCCATATTCTTTTTTAATCCTACATCAGGAATTGATGCAATCTAACTGTATTCAGAATTCGCCTAAATAGTAAATGAAGTCCATCTGCCTTTAATTTGTTTTCAGTCCAGATGTTCCGGACTGAATTTGCTTAAATCCAGATGTTCTGGAGAGGCCTCAGAGGTAATTTTGAGAACAATTAGCACAATGAAGACCAAGAAACACTGCAAACAAGACAGGGATAAAACTGTGAACCTGTGAACGAGTGTGTGGCTATAAACCAATATCCCAAAACGCTGCACATTACGGAACACATCATCACCACAGGGAAACAATTGTCTGCGTTGATAAACATGTGCTTCATTTTGTCGCATGTCAGCGAAGGGCAGATGGATGAAGCTAAAGTGGGTGCAAAATTATTGAGGATGGGTCAGACATCCTGCAGGAGATATTATGACAGGAATTAAAAGTTGAATGACTGAGATCTAAAGCAGTTGGATTAATGCCCGATTCTAAACTCAATCGGGAATTTGTCTCCATCCAATCTGACTGATTTCGAGCTACTTTGCAAAGAAGAACGGCAAAATAGCACAAACGTTTCAGATTTGTTGACACCTGTCAGACCAATGGGTTTCTTCCCACTAGTGCACTGCCATGTGTTGATGTGTCAAATAAAATCTCAACATAGCATACTGAGTGGATTACACAAGATATGGTATATTTTTGCAAAACCGCCTTTATACCTCTGAAAATATTTTTTTATTATGATACACACCAGCATGTTTCGAGGAATACATATATTTTTCCAACTACAGGAAAATCTTCGGAAATAAAAATACCCTAAAAAACTGGTGTGCTTTTAAGACATGTGGCATTTCTCCCCAAGCAAGAAAATGTTAAATTTAACATAGAACTGGCCGTGTATATAGATGCATCTTAGAAATAGAAATTCACGGTGAACTGACACAACTATTCATGCGTTTTAGCGCGTTCAGGTGAGGGAGCGGTGCGTCTCTGTTCATTGCTATGCAGAACGCCTCTTCTGGTTGCGTGTTCAGGAAGGGAGAGAGGGAGGAGGATCCACGTAATGTGAGCTGCTGTCAGGAAACGAAAAATGACAGGAATACAGGTCAGAGTCAAGGACCTCCTGCGATGCTTATCGGTGTCCAAAACAGCTTCGCGTTTCTCTGAGAGACAGCGTCGCGCGCAGATGCTCTCTCAAAACAAAGGCAAGCAAGACGGAAACGCAGCGTTAGCTCAGTTAGCCTGCCTAGCATTTTGTAATTGACAAGCTTTGTTTTTTTTGTCTCATGTCTCAATACATGTCGTGCTCAGACAGTGTGTTCGCCACCTTCTTCGTTTGATTCTTGTACGTCATTTACGTGAAGCACATCTGCAGATGTTGAAATGTCTTGGTTTGACACGAGAAGCTAATGTAGCTTTAAGGTTTAGTTTGTTTACGCCCGTAACTGTCGCGAGAATCTGTTTAGCGTCATCTGTTGTTGCTATGGTAACCACGCTTCGTTGTGATTTCGTCACGTTTTTAGTTTTATTTCTTGGCCAAATTAGGACTATGTGGTTTTGTATTATAGCAGGTTATTCGAGACGATAAAGGTGAAAAGTTAGCATTTTGTGTTGTATAATTCTGTGACGTATGCAGACGTGACGTAAGGCGGGCGGAAGCAATTTGTTAAACGCGGGAAAAAGGATCTGGGGAAGCAGGTCATAGTAGATGAACAGTGTAGTTTTTAGCGTTAATTTTGCAAACACGTAGTTGCTTTAGTCAGATTAAATCAAATATTTTGCTGTCGGTTGTACGCTGGGATCACATTGCTGTCATGCCTGTCCTGGATGTTACAGATGTTACTGCAGTGTCTCCATCCAAGAGAGCAAGAACAGAAACAAAGCCTGAAGAGGCAAAATACGTGCTTAGATTTTCTAAACTTTCGGAGCATGCCACAACACCGACACGAGGTTCTGCAAAAGCAGCAGGATATGATCTCTACAGGTTGGTTTTAATTGTTTCGCTGTGGGGCTACTCTGTTTTCTTTGCAGCTATTTTTAATTCAAGATATCTCACATTGCTTTAGCAGAATAGACAGTCTTCTGTGTCCAGAAATCTTATTTGTTGCGGAGTTTTCTGCACCGTCACGTATTGAACCTTGTGTGAAGCTGTTTCAATGCTTTCTTTAGGGATAACTGCATTGCTTTTCATTTGACACAACAGTGCTTATGATTACTCCATTGGTCCCCTGGACAAGGCGATTGTGAAGACAGACATCCAGATTGCTGTTCCTCATGGCTGTTACGGCAGAGTTGGTGAGTTTCTGACATGCAGCTCGTGCTCCTCAGTCACACTTCCTGTTTGGCTCATGTGAATTCAAGCTTTGATATTTCTTCCTTTCAGCACCAAGATCTGGACTGGCAGCTAAACACTTCATTGATGTTGGTGGTGAGTCTGAGCAGAAATGTGTGCCTCTGATCCGCATAATCAGATCATGCATTTATGCATTTCGACTGCTTGTGTGTGTGTGTGTGTGTGTGTGTGTGTGTGTGTGTGTGTGTGTGTGTGTGTGTGTGTGGGTGTGTGTGTGTGTGTGTGTGCGTGTGTGTGTGTGTGTTCACAGCTGGTGTTGTAGATGAAGATTACCGGGGTAATGTAGGAGTCGTGCTCTTCAACTTTGGCAAAGAAACATTTGAAGGTGAGTTCTGTCATTGGTATGTAGGCGTAGGCAGGTTTATCAAAGGTCCCCTCAATGACAGACACTTTATGTCATTGTTGGATCAAATTAATTTTATGCCCCCTGGTGGAATACAGTGGCAACAGCCTGAAATGTTTCCCCTGGTGGCAAGTTTTTTTTCTTTTGATCTAAAAGCTAGAATGTTCAATCACACTTTTTGTAAATTCGATTTAATGTTCTTCGCATGTGTTGTGTTATCTAAAAGGTCATGTAAAATGAATGCAGACTTTATTGCAAATAAATCTTTTAAATTTTAAAATTGTCAACATTTTGCCCATGTCACTGATTTAATTTAATTTGTGCCTTTCACTTAACTCACATCTGTATTAAAGGTTTGTATCCACAGACGCATGCTGTTTATGTGAAGTAACTGCCCAAATGTCCAACAGTACAATAACTTTGCTTTATTTTTTTTTTTTCCACCAACCAGGAAATTGATAAGGTGCAGAGCTTACTGTGCTGAATGACATGAAAGGACATGCTGTCTATTGTCCAAGTTAATAATTGTCTTGTGTTGCTCCTCACAGTGAAAAAGGGTGACAGAGTTGCTCAGCTGGTGTGTGAGAAAATCTGCTACCCAGATCTGGTGGAGGAAGAGGTAAACTGCGACCATTTTGACTTTCATTTACTCGCATCCTAACCCTTTCAGATGTTAGTCAAACTGGACTAACTTGAACTGAAAGTATGTAAGGTATGAACTGAAAACAAGGGGAAAGTTCAGTCTGGTTGCAATTTTAACTCTTTGCGTCTTGATGGTTCCTCCAGTGGAAAAAAAAACAGAGCTATTATGCATCAATCAGAAGTTATTTAATAGCATCACTTTTACAAGAAAATCTTCTGGGTTTTTAAACATTCTTGCACATACATTTCCAAATTGTCTATATAGACACAAGTAAGCGAAATAACTTTTATTCGGCTTGTCTAATTTGCTCAATTGTTTTTCCCCAGACTCTCGATGAAACTGTTCGTGGTGCTGGAGGTTTTGGATCTACTGGGCGCAACTGAGGGCTCCATAATGTTACTGTATCAGCAATAAGTTGTTTTTCTATGGTAATAAAAACTAGGTGCTAATAAAGTCATTTTTGTCATACAGAAAAGTTTTTATTTTTACTAATTTCAGTTAATTGCAGTCGTGTCCATTCAATAGCCCTCCACAAGGCGAAAGTCTTCCAAACCGCCACATGGGGGCGGTAGTAGACAAGAATTCAAACTTGTGCTTCAAATCACGTTGCAAGTGCAGTTTTTCTCCAACATGGGGTGAAAGCGTGAGATACGTCAGCGTACCACATCCGGCTCTTTGACTTAATCTGACTTCCAGTGGCCAAAACATTCCTCACTTCGATCAAACAACTGCAGAGGAGGAACGTTGCGGCTCGGCTGTTATAACTTCTTGCTATTTTGACCTGGATGAAAAAGGGGGGAGGAGGAAATAAAACCACATGCAAACACAAAAAAATATGTTTTTATTGTGTGGATTTACAGCTAAACCCTCACTGATGTGAACAGAGAACAGGCTGGTCTGTAACAATGCAGCACTGATTTTACTTGTGAGAGAACATGTGGCCACAGAGACCTCAGTGCATAATCATGAAGGCCCAGGTTTGGCATCATCAAATGTGGTGTGTGTGTGTACTGCATGTCTGTATACACTGTTTACAAAGAAAGTAGTTGGTCATTATAAGCACCATTATGACCCCCTCTATTCCAGGGGCTTCCTATAGTTTACAAATGCTTTATAGATTAAAAGTGGCACTGATTATTACAGTATAAACACAATTTACATACACAGAAGAGAGCGGACAGGCTTTGATGCTAGTTGTTGCAGCGGCAAGGACGCGGAATCTTCCGAATGACCGTCGGGATCGTATTTGACTACTAAGGTTTTGGGTTTGTAGTGTACTGCATTCAGAAGTCTGTAGATGTGTTGTTAGCACCATTATGGATACGGATTATTGGATCAGTGGGAAAGCAGAGTTTAAATAGGCAGTAGGATTCATTCAAGCTCAGATGTGGTTACATCTCAATAGTCCACAGTGGGTTCCTTCCCTCTCCTAAACATTTTCAACCATTTTCATCGTTCAGCATCTAGGGAAGAAGACGTTCCTTAACTTCTCAAGGGGATGAAATAAATTGATATCAGACTTTTGTGACTCAACCCATTCTTCTCTTTCGACCAAGTAGAGTTAATAAAATAGCTTTCTGCAACCCACATGCCCTTCCAAGTGGCATCTGATTCCACATATCATCATATGACATATAACAGTAAAATAAAAACCTATTCACACTCTCGATAGTGCTCTAAACACAGCTGGAGATGTGTTTCCTTAGACTTCAAGCGAACATTTCCTCACTTAGCTGCTATTCCTTTCATAGAATGTGTTTCTATGATATGTAGAATCATCTTTGGTGATCAAATGGTTTCGTAATCCCCCCTTCCCACTTCGTCTCTTTGGTGGCGAGCCCCTAGTTGCCCCTAGCTACTTATTCAGAGTCTCAATTGTTTGGCCTTTAGGGCAGCGTGAGCATGACGCTGGATCAGCAGCTGCCAGCAACATCTGCCCCTCTCAGTCTGGTGATGGTTAATGGAGGATGAGCTGCACCCTCATCTTCAGTACATCTCCCAGCTGTCCTGTGAGGTAGTCTTTATCGTGTTGGTCCTCCAGCTCGGCCAGCTCTTTCTTCCTGTACAGAGGCACGCTGCTGATTTGAAGGTCGTACGTCCCCGGCGGGAGGACCTTCTTCTTACTCAGATGCAGGTAGCTGACTCCGTCCCTCTGGTTGATTTTGAAGAGACCTTCTTTGTTCCCATTGTCGATGCTGTAGCGCACGTGGTCGCTGAGCGCGGACAAGGCCGGGGTGAACTCCAGGATGTGCTCGCGGTTGCTGAGGTCGCTGACGTTCAGGTGCAACTGGAGCGTGTTTTCGATGTCCATGCTGGCCAGGCTTACTGTGTTATCCTCAGTGAGCTGAAGAATTAAAACAAAACTTTGTGAAGTTCGCCTTTCAAGAGAACTGATTCTACAGTCAGGTCACACTCTGCCCATTTCAGTCATGCACCAACATGATTTTATGCTTATTTGTAATTTTTTAAATGAGATTTGGTTCAGTGCTGATAGATGTCATCATTAATTACTTAGCTAATTGGTAAATCACTTATCAATTAGCTAATCACTTATCAATTATTGCAGTCCAACCGTTTCTTGTGGTCTGGAGTGATGCCAACTTGAATTTGGAACACACAGGTGATGCAGTAATATAAAAATAAAATATCCACCTCACCCTGCACACACCATCCCTACAGTTATACACGGTGTTGGCAGTATTTGTGCTGTGTAAATGCTCCTTTTTTTTGTTGTTTTTGAAACAAGGACATGTTTTCAAGAAGAGATGGATCTGACCAAATCCATCATTTCAGCAGATTTGGTCAGATCTGACGTAAAGATGGATTGAGCAAACACAGTCTAGCCCGTTAGAGACAGCAGAAGAAATAAGGGGTTAAGGATCCTGTTCCAGCAGGGCAGCAACTCTGGAAGTACAACTGGAGCACCAAAGTTTGTGATTGATTTGGGACAAAATATTTTTGGCAGAATGGTGCTTTTCCAAGGTACTTTAGAGTTTCTGGTTTCTTGTTTGCTCCCGTCATGCTCGATATGTGTGAATTTACAATAACGTATGTCTCATCATCATACATGTTTAAAATGTGTCAAAATAAAAAGTTCTTCATTCATCTTAACAGAATACAAATTCAATGTTCGAACCAATGTGTCAGAAATTAATATTTTCAGCACTCAAATCCTCCTTGAAAGGGCTTTTTCATTTGACAGACTACCAACACTAGGTTAAGCATGCTACCAGTCGAAGTTTTGAACTAATATCCTCAAGTTTTCCAGTCTTTCAAACAAATTACCTGCATGTCTTCCCCAGCACTATCATGTGTTGAGTTGACACTGCGACGTTTGCGTCCTTTCTTCGGGTACCCGTTTATCTTACACTCATAGCAGGCTTCTGGAGAGAGTGAGTTGTCATCCTCCTCACCTCCCTGTCCACCACTCACACTGCCACTCGTGAAGCCAAGACCTGTGACACAGTGCCTGGAGCAGAATCAAAGCAATCAGTCAAACTGAAAACGCTCTTATTTTTTTCGAATGTCTTAAATGTACCCTTGTCCGGCGCGGTAGTATCCAGGCGGGCATCCACAGAGGTAGCCCCCGTCTGTGTTAGAGCAGCCAAACTTGCACGGGTTGTGGCTGGTGGAGCACTCGTTGATGTCTGCACAGCCTCCACTGGACTGCTCGTAGTTGAAGCCGGTGGGACAGAGGCAGCGGAAGCTCCCCAGGGTGTTGTGGCATGACGCTCCCCCACAGATCTGGCTGTTCAGACACTCGTTCTCATCTGGGTCAAAGGAAGTTAGCGGGAAGCAAACAAACATGGGGGGAGGTCATTCCAGTGAAAGGACACAAACAATGCTGGGAAAGTCTGTTCTAAATCTCGTCAATATGTAGAGAGCTCTAAACTAGAAACAGGGGCCTGGCTTTAAAGTGGTGGAGAATCTCGTGATTCAGTTTTGCTTTTATTATTTCTATCTGGGGAAAAAAAATGTTCAGCTTAATGAGTTGTTTTAGAATATTATTTTGTCAATGTTTAAATAGGTGAATGACAATGTGTTTTAAAGCACTTTGGGTCCTCTGATCCAGATGAAGTGCTATACACTTACAGGTCATTTACTATTTAAGTCATAAAAGATTTTAAGCAAAAATAACAAGAAGGCAGAAAGAAATGTTTTCCAATTTTTTGTGACACTGAAAACATTTGAACAGCTCATTCTTAAAACACAGCCTCTGTTTGATATTTTAGCAACTACATCATCCTATGTCACAAAAGGTTTTTACGTTGCCATTAAAAAAAACCACAGTGCTCACCAACACACTGGTTCCACTGGTAGTGCTGCAGGTAGCCTTGGGGACAGCTGCACCTGTATCCACCCACTAGGTTCTGACAGCCATGCTGACACCTGTGGTTTCCGTCGCACTCGTCCATGTCTGCCAGGAAGCAGCACAAATCACCATGACTGAAAGTGTTTCGTTTCTGTTACCAGTCCATTGATTGCTCTTTTGTCTTTCAGACCTTCACAGCTCTGTCCACTGGGATTTAATGAGTATCCCCGCTGGCAGTCACAGTTGAAGCTACCCGGAGTGTTCTGGCAGACCCCGTTGGATCCGCACAGATTTGGGTCAGTTGAACATTCGTTGTTGTCTGTGCAGAGGGAAGAGGAGGTTCAGGCAGGGGAGCGAGCGGGGAGACGATTGTGACCTGGATTTACAGCTGAACTCATACACTGTGTTCACTGTTTGAAAAGACTAAATCATTTTTTCTCTTTCTGTCTGATATGAATCCAGATAGGATTTTTACAGTTTTTATGTATGCAGTGCAGGTGTAGGCAGTGCCTGGATTCAATATCCACATGACTAAAAGTTTGAATTCATCCATTCATTCATTTGTATCACGATGTATGTAGCCGAATACAGCATATGAAAATATCTGGTTTTACATTGAAATATGCCAATGAATCTGTACAAAATATGTATTTCAAGAAGGGGGTCACCACGAATGCTTCGGCAAATTAAGGTCCTCTATAAAACTGACCAGGTTCTAATATTGTTCTGAAGATGGAATAGTTGTAAATAATTTTGGAATCTGGTAAAGATTATATCATTTTTGTGTGTGTTTGCATAGGTATAACACAAGAATTGAAATATAACTTGCTTTCTTTATAGTTCTGGATCTGATCAATTTGTCGGTGTGAACATTCATCAGTGCTAATATAAGGTTGAAAAACAACAATATCTTTTTCAAACTTTTGATAAAAATGTTCTAATTGAACCTGAATGCTTCGTTTTATTCAACAGTCTTAACCATTTTCCGTAGAATGAACAAACATTTGAACGCACGAGTCAAAAGTGCAATCTCAATGTTTTAACAGCTGGTCGAGATTCCAGGTGTCCACGAAAGAGCTTTCACATGAAAGACCCTTTTGGTTCTTAAGGTTGCAATTCTGTCAAGAAATAATTTTTATTATTCA